AAAGATGCCTACCTAATAATTAAAAACAGTAGAAATAAACTTCAGACAACTGGTAGAATGTCTGTAACATACATAATAAGACTAATAGCCAGAAAAGATGATTAATCCATGAAGAGAGCAATAACCCAGGAGAAAAATGGGGGAAACCTCGAAGGGCACCTTACAGAAGAGGCACATCAGCAGACATCTTCAGGCCACCTGTCCACTAAGTTAGAAACGCACCAAGTCCCACTCACCTTCAGTCTTTTACTTACAGAGTAAGCCAGTGACTTTGGCCCCAAATTCACTAGGTAGCCAAAGATGACCTTGAGCTTCTGATCCTCCTGCCTGTGCCTCCTGAATGATGGGATTACAGATGTGCACCATCCTACCGATTACATGACATAGGGATCAAACCCAAGCCTGGGTGCATTGGGGACAAGTGCTCTTCCAAATGAGCTGTATCCTCAACCTGCGAACACTTCAGTTTAACGCTATGAGAACTGCATAGCTGGGGCTGGAGAGAAAGAGCATCAGATGTTCTTGCAGAGGACCGGAGTTCAATTCCCAGCACCTATGTGGTGGCTAACAATGTCCCTAATTCCAGTTCTGGGGGATCTGATGCTTTTCTGACCTCCAAAGGCCCTGCACGACATGGGTGTTCTTACCATACATGCAGGCAGTACACTCCTACACATAAAAAAAGCATAAAAAAAGAACTGCCCAGCCCAACAAAGTAGGAAAGACCTCTTATGTTGTGGTCAACTTACTTGGGCTGGGAAGACTTTCAAAAACTCGAACTTTGTTTGGGCCCCTGTGTATTATCCTCATGCACAATGATGGGAACAGATTGAAACAAACAAAAAGAATGCTTTTTTAAAAAGATTCATTCTTGAAGAAATTTTCAATTAAAAAAAAAATCAAAAGAAAAATTGAACAGTGCCTAAATCTTTATTTTTCATAACCTACATTTTTTTCCAAATTAGACAGTTTTACACTGAATGACACAAAAGGAAACTTAAATTACCAATAGTTTACATGTAAGCTTGATTCCAGTCTTAATGAAAAGTAGAACAGAAACAAAAACCCTCAAGAAAGCTTCACGTTCCACTCCCGCTCTGTGACTCAGCGGCTGCCAGCGCTCTGGAATCGTCGATTGTCTGCTGCTTTCCGTGTAACAGGCTACAAAGCACACAAACCCACAACTATAGCTCACTGAAGGGGACAAAGACAGGTATGCACCGTTAAGACGCCTGCCGGGACACACTGGACCAGTTTTTCACAAACCAACTGCAGAAACCCCAATACAGCAATGTAGGACTTCTTGCCGCCACCCACTCGTGGACCAGTGACGCAGTGACAGAAGGGCTCACAGAGACATCAAGACACTGACTAGTAGGAGAGCGATTACTTGAAATTCATGTCTGGTGAAATGGGGCCAGATTCCTATTCCTGTATTTCCAAATGATAATTAAGTATCATCACACAATTTTACAAGCTAAAATGTCATTTGTGACTGCGGTATCTCTGATTCAATACTTGAGATACGGAAAGGAATGAGTAAACTTAAAAAAGATGCTATGAAAACCACATATGACTTGCTGTATGTGACACAGCAACAGTCTGCATGCGCCCTCACAGCTTCCTATCAGGATAACTTCCATTTTTTTCTGAGTGGAAAATCTCAAAAGTATTAGCAAAAAGTTTTTGTTTTTACATTTTACAGCTATTTGGCATATCACCTTTGCTTCCTTAAAGAGTTCTATAAAAACCACATTCGAGCAAAGTTTTTGTTCCTGACGCCAGGCTGTCACTGGCCAAGCAGTGATTATAGCCAGGAGCAGCACCTTCATTCACTTCGAGGACCCGCTCCATGTGCCCACTTGCTCCTGCGTGTGGCTGAGCTCTGCACTTAGGCCAGCAAACAGTGGTTCTACCGCACATACTTTGAAGCGTGAGCCTTGGGGAACGGACAGATTAAAAACTCAAGGACTCTGCCTGTGAGCACTGCAATCTGGGGATAAGGGATGGCTGACAATACCCTGGTCCCTTCTCCAGCAAAGACAAGACACGAAGGACCTGAGGTCTAAAGCCTGCCTTTCCGGATGGACAGGATCTGCTAGTGTGGGCTCAAGAGAACAAATGTTGCTGGCCTTTTTTTTTTTTTTTTTGGTCAGTGATCTGACATCTACGAGAAAATTCATTCTTATGTTCCTTTCACGGGCATTTTAAACACATCTGCACTGTGTACACTCCTATGGAACTGAATGACAGTGGCTCTGAAGGAAATGGCCACACGCGCAGGCAGCTTTCCCTCTGGCAGGATAAATCACTTGCAGCAACATAGGATTTTAATTAGTAGATTACTGTTTTTTTAACTTTCCTCAGAAGATCCTGCCAGTTTCTATATTATACTTCAAAACCCTTTCACATTAGATATGATTAGTATGTATTTACATACTTTAAGAGTATGAAAACATTTGAAGGCTTTTAATAAGACTTTCCATTTCCCTTCTGCAGCAAAGAGGCAAAGTCATTTCAACACACCAGAATAAGGGGAAAAACCAACAAATTAAAATAATACTCAAACCACAACATTTAGTTTATCTACATCCAGCTCAACAGCAACATTTATAATATATCAATAATTTTTATCAGATTTTTCTCTGTAGGGTACCTTTTTAATATGTTCTCATTATTTACAACTGTACAGGCAGAGCGCACTCCCAAGTGCACATATTAATACAGTATCGACTATTTGCATTTACAGGATTTCTCAACAAGCTGAAGAAAGATCAGCAGTTGAAGATCTGTAAGGTATGTTACAAAAACTACTGCGAGCTCTTGCACTACAGTATGCTTACTCAGCAAGACTACCAAGAGGTTCACACGGTAACTGAGTGACTCTGACGCACTCCTGCCAACCCAGGGCCGGGCTCCATGAGCTCCAAGCTGTCTTATACAAAAGTTAAGGCAAAGTCATTTTCAAGTTTAAATAAAATTCAAGTCTTTAAATATTGGATGGAAATAATTTTTTTTTCTTTAAAAAAAAAAAAGAAGGAAAAAAAGAAAAGCCTCAGTCTTGCAAAGAGCATTGTGTGGGATAAACTGCACGGTTACACTTAGCAGGAAATATTTTAATGTCGGCTGTTTAGAATACTTAAAAGAAAAATTTTAGGCATTTTAAAACAAAATAATTTATATTTAACTTTATTATAAACTTGCTAACTTTAGTGCATCCTTGTTCTTCAGAAGTGCAGCACTTCTAGAAGTTAATCAATGAGACCCTAGTCTTGGAGGTAAAAAGAGCAGGCATTTCTGTCCTCCACCAGCCAGAGAGGGGGAAACCACAAACACCTCTCTCTCGGCTATGTACTCTGAAATCCATGTGCCGATGCAAAGGTACAGGAAGACATCCACACGGACCAGCTAAGACGTGGACTCTCCAGTGAGAGCACGTGGGGGGACACGACAGAGATGGGCACGGAGCAAGCACAGGAGGCTGGGAGCCAGGCAGCCAGCTCACTGGGACCAAAACAACATCATGGTACAACTTCATGGTATGATGTCAGTGGGCAACAAAGTTTGTATTTTCATTGAGGGTCTATTCACAATGTGCTTTGAATTCATTCTCCATAATACACTTGGACCTGGAGTGAGAAGCTGGTTACTTGCTTGCACTGCATCAGAACTCTGAAGACTTCAGATCTTTCTAAGGTGCTCTTTGCAGGTTCATTCTGCCCACTAGATCAAAAAGGAACTATATATACTGCATCTTTATTTAAAGCTAGAATCACCTGTCAACAGTTTAGATGGAAACACAGATCCCACGCCAGTGCGTCGGCACCCTGACATGGCCAGTCCCCTGCTCTGAGGCCAAGGCTGCCCCTGTCAACACCATCGCCCATCCATTGCTAGGATACCCTAGTGATATGCACTTGCAGACCAGCTATTTAAAAAGACAACAAAGTAGCATAGCTCCCTTAATTCAGAAAAACTCATATGTAGCTTGCATTCAGAGCCATGTGGAGGCTTAATAAAAAATATCAATTTGTTAGGATAAATACATTTTCTATCCTGAAAAAAAAAAAATCAAGATTTATGCATCACCTCCAGTTAAGCACCAACCTAAAATAAGGTTTATATTATATAATTAAATCCTGAAAAATAGATTTTTTTTTTTTTTCCAAGAGGGGGAAAATCCGACCACAGAAGAAAAATAACTTGCAGGCATCCCATGGGCCTCACAGATACTGCAAGCTCCTAACCAGCGACTCATTCTCCTACTGAGTGGGGAAGAGTTTCGTTTGTGGCAAATAAAAGCTCTTCAGGGCCCCTCCCAGGCATCCGGATTTCACTGAGGAGACTTGGGGGGAGTGTTCTGTTCTCTGTTGAGACGCTTCCCGAGAGGTGGCGGTGAGGGTCGGCGCCCAGGCTGCCTCCTCTGGTCTTTGGGGGCTCCAGGAGTGGACCTGAAGGCAGGGGGCTCCCTGCACCTCTCCACAGGCTCAGTGAGCTTCTCCTCCTTCCCGCAACTGACAGCATTTGGCTTTTGTTCCTTTGGGGGTTGCACTGGAGAGGAAGGAAGCTCTTTACTCGTTCTCTGACAAATCTCTGCATAACTGGGCTTTCGCAGTTCCTGGAATCAGACAAATGTGGGATCATGCACACAAAATGACAGAGGTGTCTCTTCAGGGACGTGAAATAAAGTTACTTAAGATAAAGTTTTAATTGTAAGTAAATTTCTATCCTCACAGGTAATTTTGCTTCTAAAACATTCATAAAATCCAATGGCTTACTTTCCCTCCAGCAAAGTATCCAAGGTTACTATAGAAACACCTCTCTAAAAAAGCTAACAGTTTTCAAAATATAGTTATGAAATGATGACCAATCTCTGCCCACTATGCAGCCACTAGGCATTCTTGAGCAATATGGAAGCCTGAAAGACCCAAGAAAAAGATACTAACACCATCCTACTTCCCTGGACACCAGGCAGGACTTCTGGGTGTTTTGCTCACTAGGGAATTATGCTGTTACACAGTGGCCTACCGTGGTCTTTTTATTTTTGTTTGTTCTGAGAAGAGGGTCTTATGTAGTGAAGATGGCCTTGAACCCCTCACCCTTCTGCCTCCAGCTTCCCAGTTTCAGCTGGCCTGGAACTTAGTAAATATACCAGGCTGGCCTTGAACTTGTGGTGATATGATCCCCTTGCCCCTGCCTCCCAAGTCTTAGGATTATAAATATGTACCATCATATCCAACTACAATTTTAATTTATAAAATAATATTTTTTAAATCTTTAAGGCTCAACCAACTGGGAGCAGGGCTTAGCTCTCAATGCAATCGCAACAACTCACTCGATACCAAGCCAAGAAAGCTGCAAATCAGAAGAGACACTGGGTTCATGGAAGCTAGAAACTGCTAGACAAGAACCACTTATGATGCAGTCCTGGCTGGGTGGAACTTGCCATGGAGACCTAGGGCTTCAAACTTGCAGTGAGCTTCCTGCCTCTCCCTTGAGAGTGTTAGAATTACAGGCCTGAGCCATCATAGCTGGGATTTTTTTTTCCCGTCTTTATTTGAGAAAGGGTCTCCCTGTAGCCCCAGCTGGCCTGGAACTCACAGAGATCCTCTGCCTCCCAAGTGTTGGGATTAAAGTGGGCACCACCACACCCAGCGGAAAGCTGGGATTTAAACAGACCAGTCATTTATCTTGTTCTTTTTAGCTGTTCTGCTTAACTCTTTATCTTAATTTTCTTCTTTTTTTTAAAATTTATTTTTATTCTATGTGTATGAGTGTTATGCCTGCATGTATGTAAGTGCATCCGTGTCATGCAGTATCTACAGAGAATAGAAGAAGGGTGTTGGATCCCCTGGAACAGGAGTTACTCCTGGCAGTTGTTAGCTGCCATGTGGGTGCTGGGATTCGAACACTGGTCTTCCGTAAGAGCAGCCAGTGCTCTTAACCATTGAGCCATCTCTCCAGCCCCATAATTTTCTATCATACATATGACGCATAAAATTCCATACAGGAAGAGAGTTATGACCATGTTACTATTTAAGAAACCTCTACCAACCCACAATGAAGTAGAAGAGTTCAGTGACTGTGGTACAGAGACATGATGTGAGCAGCCATGGAGAATCATCAGCAAATACTCAGGAAATTTTGTGCAGAAATGAAGAGAAAGAGAGAGAGACACACACAATAAAACCCTTCAAATCAGACTGATTAAAACTGGGCTGACACAAAGCAGTAAAATGCCTGTGAATGCTGTGTAAGAAGACAGGCCAGGTACTTACTGTGGCGGCTCCGTTCACTTGCACTGATTTACACGCAGTTGTTGTAGGTGTAGAAGGGAGTCTGTCCACACTGTGGGTTTCCCTCTGCTTTTCTGCCACCTTGGGATCCCTGTAAAAGATGGTACCTGGTTTAAGAATTTCACGTACCATCACAGGTCACTCCCAATGGTACACAGCAGAGGGCTGGTAGAACATCGATACTCACTCAGGTAAACGGGCTGGTGAAGGGGAACGTTCCAACGCTGCTGATACAGTACAAGGCGCTGGCACTGAGTGCTCCCTGGGTACCACGGCAGGAACGGTGCCCGTGCCGCCATCTGCACTAAGGCTCTGAAAATCATTAAAGGAATGGCTTATGATCTTTGTCAAAGGAGGTGAGGGTCTAACCCTTGAAAGGGTGGCAATCTCAAACCCATCTGCAGAACCTGCTTCCCATCTCCCTGTGAAGATACAGAAGGGTTGTCTGACTGGTGCTGAATAGCGCTGTGTCTACCCCAACCCCAAGAAAACAGAACTAGCGGGATCCCACTGACAAAGTGGCAAGTCATAGAACAAAGACGCGAAGATGTCTCTAGAAAAAATGTCAACTACATCTCAAGTTTGTCCTCTGCCTATACATCACTCAGCCTTCTTCCTCTTGGCAAGTGCTGAGAGCTAGTTTTACGTCCTGGGCTCCCTTTGCATTTCCATTATAATTATCTGCAAGCTTCTTTTCTCAAGTGAGCAGCTTCCAAACACTACTCATCTGCCGTGTTGGATTCCCACAGCACACTCCAATATCTCCTAGGGGTGAAATTACCACAGTCTACTACAATATAAACAAAGACCGATACATGCACACCTACATAAATTTGAATACTTTACAGCAGGTGGCAGACACCCACAGGAGTTCTCACCTGAGTCCACAAACAACTTTGGAAGCAGGTGCACATACACAAGAACCCAACTTAATAGACAAGGAAACCATAGCTTGGAAAATTCAAGTTATTTTGTCTAAGGTCACAAGGCTAAGAACCGAATGAATCCAAGAATGTCTCCAGTCAATGACTCTCTAAGTAGAGTCATAATTCCACAGAAGTATACTCATGTACACAATGACAGACCCATTATATAACTTTTTGAAAGGCAATAAATAATTGCTTATACATTTAAATATAAAAAGACAAAATTTTCTGTCTTTCTGTTCCAAGTAGATAAAAGTTCATAGGTGAAACAGAGTGGTAAGCGGAAACTGCAGGCTCAGGGGAAAGGCATGCTCTTGTCTGTTGCGCTGGAGAGTCTGAGGCCCTTCTGCCTTGAGAACAAGAGTGTCTTATAACTGTTCTCAAGTGGAAAGAGTCTAACTTGCTAAAACCAAGGAGCAAGGAAAGGCTCCCTATTTGTAAGTGTGCTTAGACTCAAAGTGTGTTCAATTCTGACTCTACTTAAATACAGATGGATATGGCACTGTGCAAGGGAGTCCGAAAGGGACTGTCACAAATACCATGTCAACCAGGGAGGGATTAGTTGCCTCATATCCAAAGTCCTCTGCAGCCCTAAAACTGCAAATGTGCCACCAAGAAGGTGCAGCGTGAGAGTATTCTATTGGGCTGCAGAGCCAGGCCAAGCCTTTCAGAAGCAGTAATTCTCTCTTCAAGAAAGACTACACAGAAACTCAAAGCTTATATTCAAAGAAACAGCTGTTTGTGAGGCCAGGGAGAGGCCTGCTGATTCTTTTTTACCCATCACTCAAGAGAAGCCACAGTTTAAAAATTAGACTTAGTGACTATTAAAATGTATAATCCTCTAACACCATTTTATAAGGCAATCGGAAATGTAGTCATGTAAGCTTACAACTTCCAAGACATGCCAATTCTAACATGTGACTGTTACTAGAAAGTACAGAATCCTGGAATGTATACATTCTCCAAGGCTAAAAATAGGAGCACTCCGCCTTCCACTAAGAACTAGACTGAATCTTTCATCTGATCTAAGTCTCAAGACTGAAGTAAAAATGCCTCCCCCAGCAATGGGAACTGCTACATTCACTACTGTGATTCTAAACTTGGGCTACGGCACCTTCCTCTCATATCAGAGGCCACACTGGATTATACAGGAAAAAGACAGGTGGGTGTGGTACAGTGTGCAGCCACAGCTGATTAACTGCAGCATAAGGAGTGCCTGGACCCAAGACCACTGAACCATTTCCTGCCTCTAGCACTTGCCTGTACATTAGTAGCTGGGCAGAAAGCCCTTTATTTTTATTAAAATATTATTTTTATTTTACGTGTATGAGTGTATTGCCTGCATGTGTGTAAGTGCACCCATGTCATGCAATGCCCATGAAGGTCAGAAGAGGGTGTTGGATTCCCTGGAACTGGAGTTATGGATGGTTGTTAGCCTCCACGTGGGTGTTGGGACTCAAACCTGGGCCCTCTCCAAGAGCAGCCAGTGCTCTTAACCACTGAGCCATCTCTTCAGCCCAGAAAGCCCTTTCTTTCACATTCTAGTCTTCAAACATAGATGCTGGCAGGAGGACCAATCCTACTTCCAGTCTGTTAGCTACGCTGCACCGCAGGAACCCTGGAAGGAATTCCCCTTGGACCCAAATAGCCTGGATAAGCCTAGGGATGATGTCACGGAGTGGGAGACCACGTGTGACAACTTACAAAGTTCACCTACTGGCATATTACAGTGGAGTTATTCCAAGCTTCTTGCAACTTGTCTCATGTAATTACTAAAAATAGTATTACTTCTGATAAAATTCAGATTCTTCTGTGTCCTACAGAAATGAAGATGCAATCAAAGCTTCTGTACAGTGTGCCAACTGACTGTTCCAACTCCAAGTGACCAAAGAACTCACTTAAAACATCTCTAAACCTCTCATGGTATTTTGCTTTGCTTTTTAATGTGGATAATGAGCTCAGCAGATTCCTGGCACAGAATCAGTTCTTGGTGAGACGCTACCAGAACCACAATGCACACTTACTCTTTCTTTAGATGACGCTGTTATCAAGCTGGATAACCTGTTTTCAAACAAGTCCTCTGTCTTCAAATTGCCTGCAGCTCCAGGTAATGGAGGGAAGTTGGAAAGCCCCAGTTCGAAGCTTGGGGATGGAGGCTTTGGTGGTGTTGGAGACTGAGTTTGGCTGCTCTGCAACAAAACCACACCCCATAAAGTCACACAAATGTGGGGAGAGACAGTGAAAGCACAAGAGAAAAGCAAAGAATCTTCTGAATTACACACACACAAACCCAGAAAATGAAATGTAGTAATAATTTTAAAATTCCAATGCAAACAGGTTAAAGGATTAAAATTTGTCTGAGGTGACAAAAATAAGACTTTTGCCTATTTCTCGCCTTTAATAGCTAGATTTTTAAAAAAGTTACTTATTATTTTTATTTTATGTGTAAGAGTGTACTGCCAGCATGTGTGTAAGTGCACCCATGTCGTGCAATGCACATGGAGGTCAGAAAAGGGAGTCAGATACCCTTGAACTGGAGTTACAGACAGTTGTTAACTGCCATGTGGGTGCTGGGAATTGAACCCAGGTCCTCCGCAAGAGCAGCCAGTGCTCTTAACTGCTAAGTCATCTCTCCAGTCCTAACAGCTGAATTTTACAGTTACCTGCCCTCAAAATCAAGCGTGTACTTATTACTACCTGGCAATTATACACCCCCTCTTATAACGAACATATTGCTCCAAATGCAGCAAAGTTCTAAAGAATGCAAATACTTTGATCTCAAAGCAAGTTTTAGAAGCTTATTTTTAAGTACCTGCATGTTTCTGAGGTGAATGTAGCTTTTAAGAAGATTAAGCATTTTCAGAGCCAGTGAGATGGGTCAATGGGTAAGAGCACTTGTGGCCAAGTTTGTCAGCTTGAGTTGGATCCCCATGACCCACATGATGGAAGGAAGAGAATCAACTCCAGAGACCCATGCCATGCCACACATACCCCGTACAATGTATGCACACATAAAGTCAGATTTAACATTTTCAGAGCTAGCCTTCACAAAAAATGACCTCTAGCTCAATTTTTAGGAACAAAGAGGCAGGCAGTGGACAAAAGAGGCAGCCACAGAATGCCAGGCCCACAGGTGCCTCAGTGCTGAAGGCAGTGCTTGGTGTTCTTTAGCGCTCAGATAAGACATGAATGCTATTGGTTGAACCCAAGTGCTCACATATTTGTTACTTGTCTGTAAACTTCTGAAGTCATTAAACAGAATGACTTCAATTAATAAATATCCTCTAGAATACACATAACATCTGAGTCAAGGCTCCTGAACTTCTGAGTGGTCTACCAATATGAACACAGAATCAGGAAAACAGCAAGAAGCGAAATCATAGTGGGGTTCTTCGGCACAGGCACAGCAGAGTGGCTTGTTTCGGGGTGGACAAGTGGATGCTAGGATTAGTCAAAACTAAACCAGACTGACCTTATTTTTTATTTTATTTTGGGGGGATTCTGGGGATCAATCCAGGGCGTTGTGCATACTAGGCCAAGTGCTAGACTGATCTTAATTAGAAGCAGAATTTCTGGGTTCTAAACTATATTTTTCAAAAAATTTTATGTGTACATATATGTAAGTGCACCAGTATTATACAACACCCTCCGAGGCCAGAGTTACAGATCATGTGGGTGCTAGGAACTGAACTGGGATCCTCTGCAATAGCAGCCAGTGCTCTTAACTGCTGTGCCATCTCAGAATTTTTAATAAAAAAGCATACATATAATGACTCAGAGGGTGAAAACAAGAATGCCCAGCACATGGGAATCTCATAGAGGGCGTCTACACAGTCAGTTTCAGGCCAGCTGGGGCTACAGGAAGACCCTGTCTCAAAAAGACAGAAAAAGAAAGAGATTTAAATGTCTTGAAAGTGGCATAGGGGTCCGAGAGCTGGCTCAGAGGGCAAGAGCATTTGCTCTGCAAGCATTAGGACCTGAGTTCAAATCCCCAGCACCCATGTAAAGTCTAAACAAGCATGGCTATAGGTATCTGTAGCCCCGCAGCCCAACAATGGTAGGAGAGACAAGCTGATCCTGGGAGCTTCAGCTAGCTTCCAGGTCAATGAGAGACCTTGTCTCAAGGGAGTAAGGAAGAGAGTGACAGAGAAAGATTCCCAAAGTTCTATGCACACATGAGTGTGCATACCTGCACACTAACACATATGCAGCATACCACATCACAACACACACACCCATACACCCCCCTACCCCCAACACACACACATGTACTCACTGCAAATTTCTCCTCTCTTTTCTTCCGATAGCCAAAGGAATTCTTCCTAGGAGTGGAAAGCACAAGATTGTTATTTTTTCTCATTTGGGAAATTACGCTTCTGCTCATGTATTTACAACACACATCAATTCACTGTCTTTATCACATAGTAATCTTTCAAAGACAAAATTTGATTCTAAAAGCCCAACTTTTAAAAGAATAACCTCAAACCAGGCATCATGGCACATGCCTACAATTCCAGTTCAGGGGTAGCTGGAAGTTTAAGGCCAACCTGGGACAACTGAGACTGTCTTAATGCATTAAAAAAAAAAAAAAAAAAAAAAGTATAAGCAAAACAAAAACAAGAAGTTGAGAGTAAATCATTAGGTTAGCTGTCTAGACAGGTAAAAGAAAAATAGTAATTAAAAGGGTCTGTAGAACAGCTACTTAGATTCAGATGTTTGCATGTCCATTAAGCTGGAATGACAAGATGTACACATGAAGACTGACACCAAACTATATAGGTGACAGGACTGGAAACTACATACATGTTTTTTGGTTCACTGTGTACCTGCTAGTGTGTGTTAACTACACTGTCTTTCACAGGAGGGGTTGCAGTCCTTAGGTTATAGGATATTTGGGTGGAAGCAGGAACTCCTTTGTTGAGTAGACAAGGAGCATCTCTATTAGTATAAAGCCTGAATCTCGCAAGTATAAGCCTGTTTTAGCTGCCACTTGCAAGCTCAAATATCATTGGGAGACCTAACAGTGACTCTATCACTAAAGAGGAAGAGCATACTGGCTAATAAGACAGTCTCCTGGGCTCAGCCCTATGTTTCTAACACTTTGTAAACTGGCTGGGATTCTGCAAACCCTGCTTTCCCTCTCTGCCAGGAAGATTCTTGTTAAGCTATTAATTATTATTATTGTTATTATTATTATTGAGGGCAGGAAGGGCATAGCAATTTATACACTCCCCACTGTGCCTATTGGCCTGGCTAAGTGGGCCCAGTCCCAAGACTCCTGGCCCAGGCTCCCTTCTCCCAAGCTTCCAGCCTTTAAGAACCCAAACTCAGCCCTTGGATTGGTGGTTGCTACCTGATGTTACTAACCCTGGGTTATTCAATGTTCCCCTTTGCCTTTCAGTCTCTAGTAACTGATTTGAACATAGCTGGTGTAGTGTTTATTCTTGATGGCAGCACACTCCAGTGCTAGTTCTACTAAGCCATGGTGCCAGCGGCCACTCTATCTCATAACTCACCACAGCTTCACAGATGCTGATTTTATCACTGTAGACAAAGGCACTCCAGATTCTTTTTCCTGCTAGATTTTCAAACTGCACTGAAGGAATACAGTGCACACCTCATGTTCCACTCTATTGTTCTTCATGGCTGCTGACCTTGACAAGGGGCAACCCTGTGTCGAGCTAGTACTTGATGCTATCTCTCCGGCATCATTGCTCACTTTATGTCTCCGTGCCATGCTTTGATAATTCTTGCAATATTTCAAATTTACTGTTTATCTGCTACGGTGGTCTGCTTTTTGAGGTTACTACTGCATCTGTTGTGGGGTGCCATGAGCTGCTCCGGTATAAGATGAAGTTAGTAGATAATAGGTGGTCTAAAACTCCACTCACTAGCTGTTCCTCATCTTTCTCCATCTCTTTAAATCTCCTTATTCCCTGAGACACAATACTGAAATGAATTTTACAATAGCTTACAAGTGTCCTCGTGTATACTTCACTTTAAAATCTAGAAATGACTGAACTGAATGAAGACGTCATGTCAGAGCAGAGGCAGGCTGAACACCTGTTCTACCAGTTAGCTGGGTAGTAAGCTCCAAAAACATCTTGAAGGGTAGGAGAAGTGCTCCTCCAGTGAGTGCATGAGTGACATGAAGTAAGACGGCCTTCCTGCTGATAGTCAGGACAGAGTTCCTGTGATCTGGATAGAAGACTAAACCAATCACAACATTCCCGCAAAAAGTCTGGTGGTCCACCAGGCTCTCGCTCTCTTCAATCCTGTGAGGGGTGAGAAGGGTGAGGAAGCTGTAGACACTGGCAGAGGCTGGCCCATGATGTTCTGGGAAAGGAGTGTCTCTACAGCACCAACATGCACATGAAGCAGCAGTGCTGGTAGAGAGGCTGCAGTGAGTCACCAGAAGACCCGGCCACCACCACCGAGGAGAGGTTTACCTAAATCAAACAGGCTCCTGTTGAAAGAGCACCATCTAAGACTTCCACAGTTACAGAGTCACTGCTCAGCATGACAGCTTCAGAGGACAGGTTGACTCCCCATTAGGGTCTAATAGAGCTAGTGACTGTTATAGCCGTTTCTGGGTATTTTAAGGCACCATTTACTCTAGGGTAGTATACAATGAAATGACAGCATTTCCATGTCTGCTAATACAACATACATTCCACAGCCATAGAGTAAGAAGAACTTCAGCTTTCAAGTCTTAGTATTTAAAACGCACACTTCACAGGGGCTGGGGCTGGAGTCAGTAAAGGTGGCCGCCCAAACATAAGAACTTAAGTTGGAATCTCAGAACATACATTTAAAAAGCTGGCACTGGGGCTGGGGAGATGGTTCAGTCAGTTAAGCACCTGCCATGCAAGCAGGAGGATCTGAATGTGGATCCCTAGGGCACATTTGTAAACTGGGCATGGCAGTGTGCATCTGTAACCTAAGCAGCATGGGGGGACGACAGGCAGATCCCTGGAGCTCACTGGCCAGCCAAGTCTGCTGAATTGTGAACTCCAGGTTCAGTCAGAGACTGTTTCAAAAGTATTGTGGAGAATACTAGAGGAAGATGCCTGACGTTGGTCTCTGGCCTCCACACGTGCACCTGTGCATATACTCATATAGACATGTATGTATGCACAAGAGAACAGAGAGACACCACAGACTCTCCTTAAGAATAAAAACAAAACAAAAAAAATCACAACCAGTACACCAAATAGGTATGCTTGTCACCCCAGCACTGGGGAGGGAGGAAAGGGAACTTCTGGAGCTCCCTGGCCAACTACCCTGGCCTAACTGGGATGCTCTAGGTCAATGAGAGACTCTGTCCCAAAAAAGGTGCATGACATCTGAGGAACGACACCCAAATTTCTCTTGCCTCCACATGCACACATGTGCATGTTTACTCCCACACCCCAATCAATAATAAATAAATAAACTATATGCCATAGACCGATTCCTCTGACAGAAAAATAAACTGAAAACCTGCTAGAAAGGATTCACCATTTTAAGTGCCACTAAAAACACCTGAGATCAATGGGAAGGGACCAAGCAAGCAACATTAACAGGAGTTTGGGTGACTCTGGGTGGTTCAAGACTCCAGGAAGTAACTGTAGATGAGGAAGCAGCCTGAGAGCAGGAGTCAGGGTGAGACGGAGGAGCTTCTCAAACGAATGGCTGCCATGACCACCCTTAAATGGAAGAGCTGCTTCTTATGGATCAGCAAAAGGATGACTTCTTGAGACAGAGTCTTCTCCTGCCACAGGTCTTACAGTACTGCTGATGTGACAAGAGGCTGAAAATGTAACCTAGCTGACAGAGCAGCAGCAGGGTTCAAGGATGGGCTCCAAGTTTAAAAGAAGTTCTTGTTGTAAAAGAGAGTAATCGGTAGGGCAAGTCACTGCTGTCTTATTTTAAGAAACTGCCACACCCATCCCAGCCTTCAACAGCCCTAATTCAGCAAGCACCAAAACCCAGGCAAGCTCTTCCACCAGCAAAGAGGTTAGGGCTATGGAAGATTCAGGTGACCGTTGGCACTTTCTACAACCCAGTCTTTTTCGGTTGGGGTGTGTGCATATCTGCACTTATTTTTGCTACTGCACGCTTACTAGACTACTACACTGCAGGATAAGGATAACATGTACATGCATTAGAAAGCAGAAGAATCTGTATGGCTCACATTAATGAGTTCTGCTTTACTGTGGTAGTCTAGAACCAAACCTGTCAGATCTCAGGGGCATGCCTTTGTTTTTTCCTTTGTACCAAGACACCAGAGCCAAAATTTTTGGAGTTTCAATTTGTCACAAATCATGCTGTTTATTTTATGTATATAAAACTTAGAAATGTTTTTCATTTAAAATTTTCAAGGTAGGTTAAAAAAGCCCAAGAAAGTTGAGGGAAATCCAGACAGTCTATCACATTAACAACCGGCCTAGTCAATACTGAATAGGGTATAAGCCCTGAACCTACCAGCATCTTTTCTAATCTCCCCACTTTAAAGGAAACACAAACGGCAGCAGACAGCAAGTAAGAAAGGGCCAGCTGTATCTGCAGAGGCATCAGGGGAAGGAAGTGACGCACAGGAGTTTTTACTTTCACGATGCATGCAAAGAAGCCTGGGTGATGACAACAAACACTGAGACCCCCAAGAACTACTTGTCTGAAGATGAAAGTGATGTGGCCCACAGACACTTTTTTACAATACCAGTTTCTTTTAGAGTAGAAACAGAATTTAAAGGCTGGTTTGCCTGGCTACTAAAGTCCACTGCCTGCTGGACCATCCAGCTGATTTATTTTATTTTTATGGAATACTAGACATTGAACACAGGACCTTGCTCATGTTAAGGCATGTGCTCTACAACAGAGCTAAATCCTTAGCTCTCCCCGAAAGGGAGCAAGGCTCAGAACCCGTGGGATACACCCAGGAGGCCACCTCTGTTAACAGTAGGGACCTGGAGGGCCAGGCAAGACTGGCCCTAACTACCAAGGCAAGACTGCAGGGCATCTAGAACAGTCTGGAAACTATACCACTCTGAATTCGCTCTCGGTAATGACTGAGACCCAGATTCAGCACCATCTGCAGTTCTCACAGAATAAAATGCCATACTTTGAAGAAAAAAAAGGGAATCAATTTATGTATTTAGGTCTCCACTACTCTAAAAGCAGAGGAATTATCTAAAACCTCTGATGTTTACAGCCTTCAATTTTATTTTCTGAAATATATTAGAAAATAATTATAAAACATACCTACATTAAAATCTAAAATATTAATAATTTATGATGGGTACAGGATACCTGTTTGACAAAATATGTGAATGACTTACCTTCCTCTCCCTAAACCAGGAGAGGATTCAAGACTACTTGGCTCCACACGCCCAGTTCCAATCTCTCTCTTGGCATAAGCTGAAGGGTTTTGTATTCGTGTTCTACTTTGCCCTGTTTGCCTCGTCTGAGGGCTCCGGACACCATTAATTAATCGATCTGCAGTGAAGTTAAATATTGAAGGACTTTCTAGCAGCCCAGGCCCTCTCTCTGCACTAGGAATCGCATGGCGCAGATGACACTTACTAGGATTCCTGCAAATGAGATGTTTGTATATGCTGAGTTATAAAACAATCAAGGAGTTAGAATGAGCATGCTAATGTGAAATATGTATGCTAAAGTCTGCTTCCTGTTTAATAAATACATGGTAAAAGTTGCCCCCAGAGCCTCTCTGAAGAGAATCTACTCCTTACTATATAGGCAGCCAATCTAGGGGGTTTAGTCTTACAGACTTTAGTTGTAAGTTTCAAATGGTTTCATCTCTGATGAGCATGACTAGTGGTTAAACAATCTCTGATTATAGATAAGCTGAAAAAACAGCAACATGAAGCTCTTAAGCATGGGAAGCACTCTTAGAACTTGCCTGCTTCTAGGAGGGTACTGTCTGAGTGACGTCAGGGGAGACGCTGTAGGTTTGAAGGTCGGAGATGTAAACCCATTTATAAATCCAGAACTTGGAAATGGAGTTACCTGGATTCATTAATAAGAAACAAACATGTAAAGGCAGCATGAGATAAACTCTAGTTTGGTTACACTGTTGAACCTGGGCTAACCTCAATCATGTTTTGTCAGAGATACTATATTCCACATTATGCTTAGTAACTGTAAGGTATGCAAACATTTACAAGATTCCCTTTCCCAAGTAACAGGTTAAGGTGACATACTGCACATAAATACAATGACTGAATATTCAGAAGAAAATTGGAATGGGCCATAATGGTTAAAAGGTATGAGCTAAATGTAACCTATTAAAAAAAGGTAAAACAGTTAAGCACTAAATTGTAAGTACCACTAAACTGTTTCTAAAGTCTTGACACAAGCAAAAATAAGGTAAAACTCAGTGTAGGGGGCTCAGCAGCACTTGTGTGTGGGCCTTCTGACAAGAGATCCCTCCCAAGAGTTGTCCTCTGACCTGCACACCCTAGTGTGGTATGTGCCTATGTGCATTCCCACACACAACCCACACAATTAAAAACAAAAATCAAAACTCAAGTTTCGAGACACCTCTTTAAAAAAAAAAGAAAGAAAGAAAAAGTCAGATGGGTAGTGAGATAGTTCAACTGGTAAATGTACTTGCTGTGCAAGCCTAGTGATCTGAGTTTCATCTTTGGAGCCCCCATAAAGGTAGAAGGAGAGAACCAACTCTATGCTCTTGCCAGGACACTCATGAAGATAAATAATAACAACACAATAATGAAAGATGGAAGAGTGAGGTCGCTAACTTTCTGGCTTCCAGGTGTGTGGTCTCAAATACTCTTCATGCAAATGGTATTACTTCAAAGGCATTTAGCTACTTGGGCCTTCCAGTGCCCACCTTAAATTGTCACTAAATTGACAGAAATATGTACAGGACTCTAACACATTTGAAAAAAGGGAAATGAAAAAGAAAAAAATAAAAAGAAAACTAAGCAATTATCTTTAAAGCTAACTGAAAACTATAATTTAAAAAGAATATTAGTTTATCATTCTTTGACTTAAAAATACACGAGACAAAAAGAAAAGGTGGGTCTGGAGAGATGGCTCAGTAGTTTGGAACACTTGCTGGGACCTGGGTTCAATTTCCAGCACTTACAAGGCAGCTAACAACCGTTCGTAACACCCTTTTCAGGGGAATCTGACAGGGCCTCTGCAAGCAGTGCATGTATTTACATGCAGGCAAAACACTCAAACTTTTAAAAAAATTGAAAAGTTAAAGGCTTGAAACTTGTCAAATAGGATTCGCAATTTGACAAGCTCTATGGTCTATAAAATCATGTCACTTAAAAATCTTTCCCAACTACACAACAGACAAGGAACAATATCTATTTTTGAAGAATTGTAAAACTGAGCACCCAAAACCCCCAAATCATACAGCCAATAAATGGGCTAATGAACCGAATACTTGGTTCTCAAAAGAAGATGTACAACAGGCCAATACACACTTGAAAAAGTATTCAACATCCTTAGCCAATGAAAACTGAGCAAATTAAACTTTGTGATTTCATCTCACTCCAGTCAGAATAATCATCATCAAGACATAAATGACAGGGCTGGAGAAATGGCTCAGCGGTTAAGAGCACTGGCTGCTCTTGCAGAGGACTTTGATTCAAGTCCCAGTACCCACACAGTGGCTAAAAAACATCTGTAACTCCAGTTCCAGGGGACTATGACACCCTCTTCTGACCTTCAAGGGCACTGTATGACACGGGTGCACTTACATACATGCAGGCAATACACTCATACACATATACCCTCTCCTTCCAAGTCCCAAGGATCACTGCAGAAGAGGAGCAGAAAGTAAGGAGCCAGAGTGATTGATTCCATAGCTAAAGTGCATGCACGTGCACGCACACGCACACACACACACACACACACACACACACACACACACACACTGAGACAGAGTCTCCCTGTAGCCCCAGCTGGCCTGGAACTCGATATATAGATCAGACTGGCTTCAATCTTACAGAGATCTGCCTGCCTCTGTCTCCTGAATTCTGGAATTAGAGGTATGCACCACCACACTCAGCTAACAGACATGTATATATAAATTTTTTTACACTTATTTTTTTATTGTATGTATGAGTGTTTTACCAGCTTGTATGTAAGTACGCCACAAGCGTTGTTAGTCACCATGTGGGCGCTAGGAACTGAACCCAGGTCCTCTGCAAGAACAGTCAGTGTTCTTAACCATTGGGCCATTTCTCCAGCCTGAAATACCTACATTTTTTTAATAGAGTATGGTTTCTTTGTTCAAGCAAATTTGGTGACAAGACACAGATCAAAGTCCACATGTCTCAGGATATCATTTCAGAACTTGTTTGGTTTGGCCTGATTAACTTACTACCTCTGTCACCAGTAACCTGCTCTAGCTGAGAAATTTGAACTATAATGACCTGGATGCTTTTGCATATTCAATTTATTCTTGGAGTTTCCTTCTCTTTGATCCCTTCTTATAAATCACATGTAATGTGAAAACCCCAATTAAGGGGGCAACACAATAGCTATCAATTCCGTCTATAAGGTTTTTATTTACTTATATTTTCTGAGTGCTTTGCCCGTATGCACGAAAGTACACCATGTGCATGTAATGCCTGTGGAGACCCCAAGAGGGCATCGGATCCCCTAGAACTGGAGTTATAGACAGTTGTGAGCTGTCATGTGGGTGCTGGGAACTGAATCTGGGTCCTCCAGAAGAGCAAGAAGTACTATTAACTAATGTTAAGCCATCACTCCAGTCCCATCTATAAGTTTAATGGTCCTTTCCTATTTGTATTTATTTCTGCAGTATTAACTCTTTGGCATATTCATTTTTTCCAGGCTCAATTTTTTTCAGACATTTATCTTTACAGTTTGGTATACAACAGACACCAATATTTCAAGTTTCGGAAATTCTTTGTCCTAAGTTCCTGCCTTTCCATACCTATTCTCTTTTTCTGCCAGTGAGTGGTACCGTTTCTATATGACAGGTGTCTGACACCCAAGCATCTGATCCTGAGTACCCTCCAGTTGTTTCCTGATGGTCCATGGCCATATCCTGGTATGAACTCTTTCAAAGTCACTAATTTCTGCTTTCTGACTATCACCTGCTATGCATTCTACTCTTTTACCTCTCATTCCAACTGAATCTGGATTACCAATCTTATGCAAATCTGCAGAAAGGAACCCATCTTCTCTTTTTAATTTGGACATCAACTTCATCAAAATCATGTTATATTCCACCCCATTAAACTAATCACAATTCTAAACCAAATGGCTGCATTCATTACAAATTAATGAATTCCAACCATAGGCTGTTAACAAGAACTCCCAAATTAACCAATCAACCGACTCTAAGGTTGATGTGAGAGCTAAAGCAAAGCTTTGTTAGACAGTGTACATTCTGCTTGACCTAGACTGTGAGAAGCCTACTGAAATACCTCTTTCTCCTTCACAGACTTTCCCTCTGCCATCTCTCTCTGTGCTCTGAAAGGCATCAGTTATCCTAGAGCTCCTACTACACCTGTGTCTTATAGGAAAGGAAATGCTGGGATGGGGAGGCAAAGATCAGGATCACAGCACTGTAAAGCTTTTTTGATGCATATAACTCTTACATTTATGGCTCAATTAAATTTTAAAATCTACATATAACTTGAAGATCTGGATACTCTGGTAAACTGAATATACAGGGTTCTCCAATTACATGACCATTTAAACTTTCAAATTTCCAAGTACAGTATCTAAAATGAAATTTTTTTGTTAAGCAAATTCAAAAGAGGAGGTGAAAGGCTTACCAAGGGTGGATCAAGATAACTGTGTGTCGTTGACCATGTCTGAGGGGTTATCAGGCTGTACAGAGGAAACTGCTGCTGGGGACTGTATACTGGGGGTAAATAAAATGATGTTGTATAACGCTGCTGTGTATAAAGGTTCATGTCCAGAGGCCTAAATCCATTCTTTGGCAAAAATGTGTTTATAGCTATTGCCTTTGCTTTTATCCGTGCCTGTTTAGAAACATTTAAAGTTCCTATTAGAATATTTAAGAATACTGATCAGATAAAAAAGAAACTATAACCAATGATCTGGCTTACCTTAATTGGCTTTCCTTGAAAAGTTTTGACTTCTTCTCTCAGATATTTGTAAGCCTATAGGCAAAAATCATCCAAAACAGCATCCTGTTAACCTGGTAAGTTAACTCACAGTAGCTCATATAAGGAATTATATAGCTGGAGTATAGCAAACAGGATCTAAAACAGTAATTCTTAACTCCTTTTGGGTCACAGACCTTCTTAAATATCCTTATAAACGCTATGGTACATATGCTCAAAATTATAAACAAGATTTAAATATAACTCAGTAAGCATTAATATAATACCATTATACTATGGTACATGTACTCAAATTATAAACAAGACTTAATTATAACTCAGTAAGCATTAACATAATACCATTAAGAGTCTCCCCCAAAACCATAGGCTAAGAATCCTGATCTAGAAACAAGCAAGAAATACTGAATATATAGTGCAGGAAAGGAAATGCTTGGCAAAAGGAGAAAGAGATAGATGGGAACATTTAAGTCATTACTGACATGCAGCCTCATGTTCCTCTCCAAATAGAATCTACATGGAGCCCCCTATGTAACAGCAAGGGTTCACCCACCCACTTCCCAAGCAGGCAACAGTGCTCACAGTTCCACAAGCACAGGGCTTCTCATTTCCCCTACGGCCAATTAAAATACCTTTCAGGTTTTCTCTTGAGTCTCCATTTGTATGGCTCAACATTTCATACTTTTTAGTATGCTTCCCCCAAACAAGACACCTCTTCTAAGAGCAATGAAACAAGTCCCTCAGGAGCTTATGTCTCAAGACCTATAAAAGCATCTTATAGTACAATGACACTCTCTAAATGCTCCCAGTTAGGTTCAAATTTCCTCACTAAGCAGACAATAAGAAGTTTGCTCTGCCCAGATAACACAGGTTCTGATGCTCCTAGGCTGTTTACCTTTCCTTTCTTCATTGTTTTGTTTTGTATTTTTCAGACAGGGTCCTTGTAGCCCCAGCTAGCCTGGAACTTACTATGTAGACGAGGCTGGCCTTGAATGCAGAGATCCACCTGCCTCTGCCTCCTGAGCGTTGGGATTAAAGGCCTCTTAAAGCCACAATGCACGTGCTTCCAACAGTGGTGCAAACACACCCTGTGGCTCCTTCCTCTTCACTTTGTATCTCAACACAACACTATGATGCTCCAATAACTTCAGTGCCCTAATTTATGCACTCATGCAAAAACTATGCACTTTTTGGGTGGTAGAGGGAAAAAAACTCACCTGTTGCGCATCAGCTTCTGTTTCAAAGGTAATAAACCAATTATCATTATAGGCAAATTCACAGTTTATAAATTTTGGTAAATTATCTCCTTTAAACAGTGCTTCTACTTCCTATAGAAAAGACAGAAGTTATAGAAATTAGTCCAATTATACCACCTTTTTTTTTCAACAAATTAAGGGAGAAGATGCATTCTTTTAAGTAAATATTCTTAAGCTAGTACAACACACTATGAGGCATAGTAAATCTCTTTCAGAAGTTTTAGGGTTGCTGCCAAAATTAGGGTCACATGCCACAAGAAAAAAAGAATTACTGACAGCTTTCTCTATTCAGAGTACCATTAAAGTTGAAAAACATGGTCTGGGGATATAGCTCAGTTGGTAGAGCTTGCCTAGCATTCAAAAAGTCCCGAGTTTCACCTCCAGCACCACACGGTTGGTAACATGTCTGAAAATGGTTTAAAAACCAAAAAAAAAAAAAAAAAAAAATTAGTTGAATTTTTGCTTCTGACGAAGATGAACTAGATTTATAGTCCCAAACGATAGAACTTATACATTACCCCATATCTATACTGGGATTTTGTCTGGTTTGAACTTGCATGGGACTTGTGCATGCTGTCATCATTGCTGTGAGTTCGTATGAGTGAATGACAGGCTGTCTGCAAGATTCTCTTTCCTTGTAGTCATTCACTTCCCTGGCTCTTGATAATTTTTAAAAAATAAGCAGGCCAGCCTGGTCTACACAGTGAGTTCCAGGACAGCTGGGGCTACAGGGAGACCCTGTCTCAAAAAGACCAAAGAAATTACAAAGAATTATTCAGGCAAAGGAAAAATGGAACCCGACAGATAGGTAAGTCTGGATCCAGGCAGGTCCAGCCTTATGACACTATCCTAACACATGATGTCATTCACAAAGTTCATGCTCAAGAACAAAATAGCTGAGTTACAAACAATTAAACATGCAACACAAAATCTCACAATGTGTTAAAGCAACGTACAATCTCATGTTGGATCTCATCCTTTGCTGCTTCTTTTTTTCATTTTTAATTTATACATACTGAAATACACAAACCCTTATAATCTTTGAAATTTAAATGTATAAAGGAGTCTTGAGACTAAGTCATGACAGTCATTTCCTCCTACAAGTGAATCACACTTGTAACTGTCAGTGTGCAGATCCTGGGGAAAAAAAACTGTTTCTATTTATTTTTAAAAGTAAGTCCTAAAAAGAAAAAAATTAGCCAAGTGTGGTAGCACACACCTTTAGTCCCAGCACTCAGGAGGCAGAGGCAGTGGGATCTGAGTTCAAGGTCAGCCTGGTCTATATAATGAGTTCCAGGTAGGCAGGGCTACCTAGTGAGACCCAGTCTCACAACAAAACTGAACAAAAGTGAAATAAATATATAAACAAACACCAACACTAAAGTCCTCAGGAAAGTGCCCAGTACCCATCTGTTGGCGAGCTACTCACTTCCACAGGGGTGGATTCAGATATCTCACGCAGTATCACTATGCAGCGATTTTGATTTGGCCTCACTTTTTCTCCCTTCTCATCCACTTGGACTAAAGGTAAAGCTGTAAAAAGAATAAAAGCAAATGGTAGAACACAAATATTACATGACGCTCCAATGGAATGTGTAACACTGTATCATGAAGCACACTGAAGACACCTGTGCACAATGGTAATTACCAAGAATGTTGAAATCTAACCCAAACAGTTTCACATCTATCTTGTAGGTTACATTTTCAGAATTAAGGAACATGAAGACCTCCAGCACATGCACACTATGACATTAAGGTGGAAAAGCACTCAAATGCTGGAAGCAGGGGAACGTAGGGCTAATGGCTTCCTCCTTTCTATAATTAAAACGGACAACTTCATGCCCGGTATGGTGGCGCACGCCTATAGTAACAACATTTGGGAGGCGGAGGCAGGTGGATCTCTGAGTTTGAGGCCAGCCCGGTCTACATAGTGAGTTCTAGAAAGGCCAGAGCTACACCGTGAGACCCTGTCTCAAAAAAATAACCCCCATTATAAAAACAAAACAAAACTAAGAGCAAAACACGTGAATCAATGTACTACAAATTGTGGTATGTAGTATATTATGATACAGTCTAGAAATGTAATTTATTCAACTCAACAATCAGCATTCAAACTAAAATAAAATACTTGCCAAGTATCTACTGTGTATCTGACTTTCTTCAGTATTTTCAGATAGAGATAAGATTTAGATTTAAGATGGGAACTCTTTCCAGGAGGGTTTACTTATGTTACCCTCTTTACAACTACACTAATATGACTGTATGCTAATGATATTCTGATTACACAAGTTATTGTGTATGTACATACAGACCTTTTCACTGTCCAAAAATTGAGTGAAGAAACTATTCTACATTAAAATACTAAATTAAAATGAATAAAACTACTATTATACTGCCAGAGCTGTTCACAAGTAAAGTCCTAGGGAAGAACAGGTAGAGCTGGGATGGAGACAAGTTACAAAGTCACCTGCAGATAAAATGACTTAAGCAACTGCATAGAACAATCAAAACATCCTCCTAATGCACATGAACAACCCCAAGCCAGTAAGAATCAACTGTCAAATTATCTGAAAGGCCAGGGCTGGAGAGATGGTTCGGTGGTTGAGAGCACTGACTACTCTTGCAGAGGACCCAAGTTCAATTCCCAACACCCACATGGCAGCTATGAACCATCCTTAACTCCAGTTCCAGGGGAATCTGAAGCCCTCTTCTGACCTCCGTGGTACTGCACGATATGGGTGCACTCACATACATGTATACACATAAAAAAATAAAAATTATCCGAAAGGTGTAGGGTACGACTGAAAGGAGCAACTGAATGTGGGTGCTGAAGAGTCACCACACATTAAAAGTAGCAGAGTGCAGACAAATACAAGCAAGTTGCTGGATTTTTAGATAGGTCAGATGGAAGCGTACTCTACGGATCACCCCACCCTACCCACAACTAAGTCTCTATTCTAAATGGCAATACTGGAAAGATTTAATTTAAAATAATGCCTTGAGAAACATGGTGCAGTGTTCAAAATCCATAGTAATAATATGCTTGCCAGTTCCTTTACTTTCTGTGTATGGACAGAAAATGAGAAAAATGTGACTAGAAAACCCAGTTAAGGGTCCACAAGATGGCTCAGTAGGTAAAGGAACTTGCTGCATAGGTTTATCAACTTGAGTTTGATCCTTGGATTCCAACAAAGTGGGAAGGAAAAGAAATCAACTCCATAAAGCTTCATTTGACATCTATACACATATGCCATGGCACATATGCTCTCCCCCCACACACAAATGATGAATGAAAAGAAAATGTTTTGATTCAATTTAACTATGTTATAAGGTAAGATACCGAGTTTTTGGTATCACCGCTAAGTCTAACGCATAGGTTTTGAAACCACTGTCTCACTGATACAGAGGAATGGGGCAACTTGGAAACACCTCTACAAAAAAGGCCTAGTAGCTGCACAAAATGAGGCTTTAAACCAGACACAATGTCTCACCATTCAATCACCTGCAGATAAAATGACTTAAGCAACTGCATAGAACAATCAAAACATCCTCCTAATGCACATGAACAACCCCAAGCCAGTAAGAATCAACTGTCAAATTATCTGAAAGGCCAGGGCTGGAGAGATGGTTCGGTGGTTGAGAGCACTGACTACTCTTGCAGAGGACCCAAGTTCAATTCCCAACACCCACATGGCAGCTATGAACCATCCTTAACTCCAGTTCCAGGGGAATCTGAAGCCCTCTTCTGACCTCCGTGGTACTGCACGATATGGGTGCACTCACATACATGTATACACATAAAAAAATAAAAATTATCCGAAAGGTGTAGGGTACGACTGAAAGGAGCAACTGAATGTGGGTGCTGAAGAGTCACCACACATTAAAAGTAGCAGAGTGCAGACAAATACAAGCAAGTTGCTGGATTTTTAGATAGGTCAGATGGAAGCGTACTCTACGGATCACCCCACCCTACCCACAACTAAGTCTCTATTCTAAATGGCAATACTGGAAAGATTTAATTTAAAATAATGCCTTGAGAAACATGGTGCAGTGTTCAAAATCCATAGTAATAATATGCTTGCCAGTTCCTTTACTTTCTGTGTATGGACAGAAAATGAGAAAAATGTGACTAGAAAACCCAGTTAAGGGTCCACAAGATGGCTCAGTAGGTAAAGGAACTTGCTGCATAGGTTTATCAACTTGAGTTTGATCCTTGGATTCCAACAAAGTGGGAAGGAAAAGAAATCAACTCCATAAAGCTTCATTTGACATCTATACACATATGCCATGGCACATATGCTCTCCCCCCACACACAAATGATGAATGAAAAGAAAATGTTTTGATTCAATTTAACTATGTTATAAGGTAAGATACCGAGTTTTTGGTATCACCGCTAAGTCTAACGCATAGGTTTTGAAACCACTGTCTCACTGATACAGAGGAATGGGGCAACTTGGAAACACCTCTACAAAAAAGGCCTAGTAGCTGCACAAAATGAGGCTTTAAACCAGACACAATGTCTCACCATTCAAATACATAGGCATAAATGAGGAAAATCACTCACTTTGAGTTTGTAGCTCTAGGACCAAAAACAAGTGGATTTTTATAACAAAAAAACCCAATCAAAAAGGGAATCTGACATAACACATTCAGTAGGAAGACTCCACAGTGAAGTCTTTGGGTAGGAAACCTCACAAGGACTAGCAAAGTTCTGGGAGGAAGATGGGTGGCCTCACCTCATGGTGGTGATGGCCTCACTCATGCAGACATGTGTCAAAGCTTAGAGGCCGTATACAGTAAATATGAGCACTTTATGCTAACCACACCTTAAGAAAATAAATCATCTGGACATGGTGGCCAAGCCTTTAACCCTAGTACTTGGGAGGGAAAGGCAGGCAGATCTCTCTTGAGTTCTAGGCCATCTGGGCCTACAGGGAGACCCCCGCCTCAAAAAAAAAAGGAAAATAAACCAAATAGAAAAGGTGCTCAAGTCTGCAAAGTACATCACAAATGACATCAGTGACACAAAAGGTAAAACTTATATAGAGAGCTACATTTCCTGAAATTCCTGTGGGTTTATTATGTAACATTTAAATATTCTTTGATGTTGCCAAGTTTCAAAAAACAATTTCACTCATAATATCCTTCTAAGGAAAAAGCCCAATAAAGTAACATTTCATCTAAGCTTAAGAAGTTTGAAAGAGGGCTGGAGAGATGGCTCAGTGGTTAAGAACACTGACTGTTCTTGCAGAACACCCAGGTTCAAATCCCACACCTACATGGCAGCTAATAACTGCCTGTAACTCCAGTTCCAGGGGATCCAAGAGCCTCTTCTGTCCTCTGAGGGCACTGCACAACACAGGTGCATTTACCTACATGCAGGCATAACACTCATACACATAAAATAAAAATAATAATAAAAAAAGAAGTCTAAAGAAACTCCTTTAGTGGCAAAAATGCTAAATAAATGTATTTTCCTTCATAAATGTTATTATTTACTTTGGTTTTTATGAATTTAATAGCTGTCTTTAAAATCTCCACTGAAGATTCATTTTTTTCTTTCAAATGGCCCATAATCTGAAGTTTCATTGTAGGTTCAATCAGTGTTCCAGTTATGGAACTGGTCAGAAAGGAAATGGGAAGGTCCAAGTTCCCAATTACCAAGTATCATTTGATGGCTATGGATGTTAAAAAAAAAAAAAGGCTCACTCTCAGACACAGATGTGAAGACATTCTAAATTGCCATTTACTTACATCTTAGCACTTCAACAATCAAGTCCACATCAGTACTGAGTTTCTTGATATGGTCAAGATTAGCTACCGTTGTAATTGGCACATACTGATCGCTATCCATCTGTGATATAAGATACATGTCGCTAGCAAGATTCTCCCTGTTGAAAGAAAGCAATCTCTTTTAATTAAAATTTCTTTAAAAGAAGTTTCATCTCTAGCAATATCAATTTCACAAGAGGTATAAGTGTGGTGTAGGTAGCTTTGGAGTAAGAATTCAGTCTAAGCTCCATCTGTTATTTGCTCACTTAATACAATGAAAATTAACCAGCAGATAATTGCTTAAGATGCAGTTATGGCTCATCGCATCTTCCATTTTTTTATACTACCGCATTTTGCTAAAACTTGGTATTTTCAATCTGCGATGAAAGGGAAGGAAGAAGGCCCAGCACCTCACTCTTAAACAGCCCCATTTAGTTCTGAGGGGTCTTCATCAGATACCTTAGTGTCTCCAAGGTTCCAGAAAAAAGCATATAGAAAAAAAAAAAAACCATCATTGATAGGAAACTTCACACACACAGTCAGTCATCTTCATACTCTACATTACATTTAACCCCATCCTGCATGTCATTTATTTAAAGGCTCGACCACACCTTTTAAAAGCAAAGTTATTACTCAGGAGAAACGAAACCAAACATACAACTAAACGTGAGTGCTATATAATAAAACAATCTGCTAGAACAGTGTTGGGCCATTTGTTAAGGCCCTATGGCAGACTCTGATTTAGTAGGCATGGCTGTGTGTCCAGGAACCCATTATTTAAACAGCAGTCCGGACAGTCATCACTAAGATGGACTTGTGGACCTAATTTTGAGGGTCCCTGACTTGAGGGTTATGATAAGTTCTCAAATCTACTAAAAGGCTATTAAGACTCTTGATTAATAAATATGTATTTAGATAGCTACTTATAAACACACTCCTATGGGGAAAATCGTATTTGTAGCTAATAACCAATGCATAATACTAGAGATCTCAGGCATTTTAGGCATTAAAAGAAAAAATTGCTACCAGCCTTACCTGGATAAGCAGAATTCCAATGTTTTTTTAAGTACTTCCCGGGGGTCTTCTTGGCTTTCTTGTTGAGATTCATTTCCTCCTATATAAAAGTAATGAACAGGAAAAATGGCTTAAAATTTACCAAGCAGGTCTAGTGTTTTCACCTAGATACATCATAGAGAGTAAAAAAGCTGCTATGACACCGGGTATGGTGGTGCATGCCTTTTAATCCCAGCACTTGGGAGGCAGAGAGATCTCTGTGAGATTGAGGTCAGCCTGGTCTATATAATGAGTTCCAGGCAGGCTGGGGCTATGGGAGATGCTGTCAAAATGAAAAAAAAAAAAAAAAAAAAAGTTCTATTTTACCTATAGAAAAAAGTAAACCACACAAAAACAAAACAAAAATCCCTCCTTTCTCCTCAGATTAAATTTCATTAACAAAAGTTTAGCATTGAGTTTTTAGTAACAAATAATCAGCACAGGCTTACTTGGTGGCTTGCCTTACTTCAAAAAGCATTTTCAGGTAACACATAAGGACACTGACATTAACAATAAAATAGAAGGGAAAGAATCAAAACAAGGGAAAGATAAACACCAGCAAAATCCAAACAAAATAAAAGCACCCAAAATGGAAACAAACAATGAACAAATAAAAATCAAATGGTGTGACGATCAAGCCATGGGCTACCTGGACTTGTATCTTCCACAGGAGAGCTTAATCTGCCTTCAAACTTCTAGTCAGTCAAAGGACAAGCTAGAAAGAGCCCTCATTAGAGGATACTCCATAAATCAGATGCTCAGAGGACACAAAAGCTTTCCAAATCCTAGAGGATACTGCTCCTGAGATGACATGGGGTGGCTCAGCAGGTAATGACCTACATGTGTATGGCTACAGACAGCAGCAGGCAGGCAGTGGCCTCCAGGGGAGTGAATTCAAGTTTAAGGCTGAAGGCCCTGCCACCTTCGGCAATCTGAACACTGGACAAGCAGGTATTTTAATAAAATGGCGATGAGCACTAAGAGTGTTCTTATATAAGTCATCCAGGTGAACACAAGAGATGCCTGTTTCAAAAGTCAAAGACCATGAAAAAAGGTAACAAAGTGGGGGAATTTAGAACAAATAAGAACAGTTTATGACAGTGTTATATAATGAATGAACTTTCAGAAAAACCCATCCTCACTAGCAAAAAAGAAAACAAAACAGCTAAGAATCATGAGATCTGAGCATGAACACGTGCCCTCCTCTCCCTGATGGAGACTTCCTGGTTCTCCTGTCTACATTCCATCCTCCATATTTGAGAGATATTTACTAGCTCTGTCTTGTGTGCTGGAAACTGTTGCAGGAACTGTGAATTCAGCCTAAATGAAGGCAAGGCCCCTGCTCTGAAGAGGCCAACATTCCAGCAAGAGAGGCAGACAATAGACAGCTGAATAAGCAAGAGTACAACAGAACGTGAGCTCGAATGAGACAGAGGAAAACAACCTGGGGAGGGGCCAGAGTGGATGATGCTGTTGGACACCAAAGGTGCCATCTGATCTGAGGGAGGAGAGAGGGGGTGTGAAAAAGGTGGAAGTTATGTTCCAGGCAGAAACCCTCAGGGGCAGGAGCGAACACACAGTAAGGAAGCTGGCCTGAATGTGGAGAATTCTACACAGTAAGAAAACACAGTAAGAAAAGTCAGCATAGTGTACCTATGAGTCAGACAAGTAGGACATTAGAATTTCAATCTGAATGTGACTGGGACAGACTGGGTGACATTTCAGAAAGACCACTGTGGTTCCATGGTGCAGATGGACAGTAAAGTCATAAGCAGTGTAACTGGGAAGCTGATACAATCATTGAGGGCAGACCGCTACTCAGGACTCAAAACATAGTGATTCAGAGGCCATGTATGGAAGACATCGGAGTAAGAGAATAAAATGAAGGAATCACCAACTTTAAAATGAATGGGGCTGGGGAGCACAAGGACCTAAGTTCAATCTCCAGCACCCATGTAAAAAGCTGAGTGTGTGGGGATGGAGAGATGGCTCAGCAGTTAAGAACACTGGTTGTTCTTGCAGAAGGCCCAGGTTCAAACCCCAGCACCCACATGGCAGCTAACAACTGTCCTTAACTCCAGTCCCAGGGGATCTGACAGCCTCTTCTGACCTACACGGATATTGCATGACATGGGTGCACTTATCTACATGTAGGCAACACGCGCATACACATAAAATAATAAATAAAATTAAAAAAAAAAAAAGCTGAGTGTGATGGTATACGTTTGCAATCCTAGCACTGGCTGGGGGGGTAGAGACAGGAGTATCCCCTAGAAACAGCCAGCACAACCTAAAAAGCGAGTCCTAGGTCCTGCTGAGAAACCCTGTTTTGATGCACATGCGCACACACGCACACACACACACAACACTATAGCTCTAAATAAGATGTGAGAATCAGCTACTTGGAAAGCTGAGGTAGGAGGTTTGCAAGTTCAAGGCCAGCCTGGGCAACTTAAGGATACCCTTCTTTAAAAAAGTTTAAAAAAAAAAATAGTAAGAGGGCTGTGAGGCTATGATGTTGTATATAGCTAAGTGATAAAATGCTGTCAAGCAAGTGAAGCCTGAAGTTCAATCAGTGTGCCAGGGTTGGGGGGTGGGGGAGTAACAACCAGATCTGGTCATACTAGGGGTCATTAAAGAGCTCAACAAATGTATATCAGACTCTAAAGACAACTGTCTGCCTGGACTGGATTTAAGAGATTAGTCAGGAGGCCAGCTAGCACAGAAAACTGTTTTGAAGCATCCTGTGAGTCTACTGCTGTGGTTTCACTGAAGAGATAATCCAGTGTAAGAACAACAGAAAACAACTCTGTAGTGCAGGAGATTCACGATGCTGACGAAACAGACAAGGAAGCAAAGACTGGCATAGTGAGAGAGGTAAGCTCTTGTGCAGACCAGCTCCTGAGCTGAGAGATGTCAGGGAGACTCCAAATCATTTACATCCACGTAAGATGGCACCCCAGGGCCTGAGGGTATTTTCTTTTTAAAAACAACAACAACATAAAAAATAAATGAGAATTTTCTAGGCACGAGACAACAGACAACAAAGGACACAGGTCCCTGGGCAACAAGTACATCCCTCAACCCTAACTGCACTAACTGTTGAGACATCTGACAAGCACTACTGCAGCCAGAGGCTCAATGTCAAAACCACAGCAATAAGCTCCTTTGAACTTCTCCAAGTGTGTACTCTTGACATATGATGAAAACAGGGCTTTACCCCTGTGGACTGCTCCCCATTCCCTAATATAAGCAGGTAATGAGGGAAAAAAAAAAATCATAAGAACGCCAACAGATGACTATATCACAAAATACTTGGCAGCTCCTCCTCAAAACTCTTGAGATAATTTAAAAAGGGGAAGTCTAAGAACTAAGAATCAAAAAGAGCCAAGTATAAGGCAGGGTCCAAAAGACATTAGGTGAGATGTGCCATTGCTAACGCAGTGTTTGTGGGGGTGTAAAGATGTAGTTTTTTATTTTTACTTATGTGCATGTCACATGAGTGCAGATGCCTGAAGAGACCAGAAGAGGGTACAGCGTCTTCTAGAGCTAGAGTTACAGGCAGCTGTAAGCTGCTTGATGTGGGTGTTTGGAACTGAATGTGGGTCCTCCGAAAGTGCAGCAAGCTCTTTAAAAACAAATATATTTATTATTTTTATGTATATGCATGTATTGCCTGCATGTAGGTAAGTGCACCCATATCGTGCAATGCCCCCAGAGGACAGAAGAGGCTGTTGGATCCCCTGGAACTGGAGTTAAGGGCAGTTGTTAGCTGCCATGTGGGTGTTGGGATTCAAACCCAGGCCTTCTACAAGAACAGCCAGTGTTCTTAACCGCTGAGCCATCTCTCCAGCCCCAAGCAGCAAGCACTCTTAACCACAAAGCCATCTCTCCAGCCCATGTGGTGCACATATATATTTTAAAGGAAGACACAGAGAAAAGACTAGGCATGAGGTATAGTTTGCTCTGTGGGCAGCTGATGTCAGATGTGCTCTGGTGCGCTTCACAATGGGCCCTTTCCAGTGTTTTCTGCAGAAACACAAAAATCTTCTCTAAATGCACTGTGAGGACCTGGTCAAGTGACTGCAAGTAAATTCACAAAATCACAGCACTCTACGGCTAGGCCACTGTGGAGTACCAGTCTCGGTCTTGCCCATTTTCAGTTTGTAGAGGCTCAAACTTCAGTTTAGGCTCTCCTAGTCTGGCTCTAGTTCCTGCAGACAGGGCTTTCTGCTCAGGGTCCAGCTTTCCATTCACCTGTCTCTCCAGCTCTGTGGACAGGTAGGTTTGTACCCTGAGAGCATACTTCTCTTCCAAGAATGGCTGCCATTTCAGGTTTCTAGCTTTTTTCATGTTAGTTCTGAACCCCTTACATGTGGAACAAGGGAACCTGAGCACCTTGTGTATGTGCCTTCTTTAGTGCTGTGTGTCTAGTTGTTCATTTTCTCACTTTCACTGAATTTTGTCAATTTCTACGTTTTGGATGTAAGTTCTTACTATATACCTGATTTACATATACAGTCTCTACAACTGAAGGCATATACATGAAAACTAACCTGCTTGCTTCTTTTCCCTAACAGTATCATTTGAAATAGATAATTTAAAATTTGCATATAGTGTAATTTATCAAGTCTTCTCTTATTGGCTTTCCTTTAGGTTATATGTAAGGAATATTTGCCTAATATAAGGTCATGAAAATATTCTTTTATTAATTTTATTAAAAGTTTTACAGCTTAACATTACCATTGAAATCTACCTGATGACTTTATATCCATGCTCAGGTGCCAAGGTTCTGAGTGTCACCAACTGTGACTAGTAATAATCACATACATAGAGATTAGAGATGCATGTGCAAACATCTAAGTGTTAGTAACATTAAAAAGTTTTTCTAGCACTCAGGAGGCAGAGGCAGGCAGATCTCTGTGAGTTTGAGGCCAGCCTGGTCTCCACAGAGAATCCAGGCCATTTAGGGCTGCAGGGAGACCCTGTCTCAAAGAAACCAAAAAAAAAAAAAAAGAAAGAAATTTTCTGTCTGAAACAGTGTATTTTAAAATGAAATGG